TTAAACTCCATACTTAGGTTCTATTAAACTGTAATGAGCAAAAAACACAAACGAAAATAAAAGAAATGTTTTAGCGAAATTTACATGACATTTACGTCTGAATAAAATAGTGAAATACTTGATGCGCAGAGTGTACTTTCATTGCGTAAATCCGTCGGCCCCGCCAACCGATGCCTCTCAGTAGTGCTTTCTCTGTCTAGCCGTCGAAAGCCTCTAGAAATTTGATGAACTGTACCCATTCGTTTTGTCATAACCATAGGTCATAACCAACAAAACATAAAAAAATGTCACGTCACATTTTCTTGTATTTATTTAAGATTTTAAAGAAATTGTAAACTATACCTTTGAATAAGTTTGGTAAGTTCTTTTCTTCTTTTCAATAAAATAGAAACATATTTTCTAATTTATTGTCTGTTCTTTTAAATTGCAATATTAAATGACTGCCTATATTTTACACGATAATAGGGATCCTATTGATGTCTCAATACTATAGAAGTAACGATATTAAACAATGAAAGTATCCATATTTAGGCACTGATACTGAATTACCAATACCCTCGCCGGTGACATATCACTTTAGTGTCACAAAATTATAGATTTGACACATGTTTTAAATAAAACTACAGATAGGTATTTCTTGATTTTTGGAAAAAAATTGCGGATTATAGTCAAAATTCAAAAATATGGCCTTTCCATGTTGGAACTATTTTTTATTGCGGATGATGAAAACTACCTATTAGGCATTCCAAACAAATGAATTACCAGTGGGCAGGTTTGGTATATCTAAGGGTGGCGACATATGGTGTATTCTATCTACTTTACGTAAAATCATGAATAATGGATTACATTTAAATATTTTATGTCAAACACAATAAAAATAATATTTAAAAAACCCACCTATACATTTCTTCATAAATTGGCAGGCTTGGCGAGTACTACTTCGAATAAAAATAACGTCCAAGTTGCAAGACTATGTCGCTACCCCCTTACATTTACAAGAATTTCCCACTAGCACCTATTGTTTGACAGGTCGTTGGAATTCCTAATTACTTGTAGTAATTTCGATTTGCAGATGCTCTTTTGTGTGTTTGTCAAAAATTTGATTTTATTTATCGCAATTTTATTTGTGTTTTTATGTTTTACATTGGTTTTAAGTATTTTATGGATTATTTATTAAAGCTATTTATGTGGTACGAACTATATAGCGCAGTTACTAAAGATATATTTACTAATATTTGTGAGCATATTGCAGAAAGATATGTATTTTAAATCAAAAATATTCTTAAATTTTATGTTGTGTTTACTGCAAGAATCAATAGGTACTTAGGCAACTTAGGTTTGTTTGGTAGTAGTGATATTAAGCTGAGAAGCAAGAATGTATGCTCTTTGATCTGTGTCAGTTGGCTGGGAAGAGGAGACATACGTAATTTTTTAATTATTTTGATATTTCAAGTAGAACAAATATAAAAAAATTTTGTTAGTGATGGTTTCTTGTTCAAATATAGGAAAAAATATTTGGTGTGGTACATTTTACGACGAGAAACATTTTTTTTAATGCCGTTTCTCTATAGGTAGATACACTGCATTTTTCCATACAACAAAATATATGGGTTTTGATCACTTTAATTTTTCATCATATTTTACTCGAAAAATACTTGTTTCCTATATATTTTTGCGAAAATTTACTATAGAAACTATGCAGAACTCGCACTTGAACTCAGCGAACAATTCACTCATGTTCCAAAAAATTAAAAAAAAATTGAGGTTAGAAAAAAATGATTATATTTGGACAAAATCCGCACTTTTTTGTAAATAATTGCTCTCTACCACATTCAAAAAGGTTTTATTTTTTTTTTCTAAATCGCTTTACTTTTTGTGACACTAAAGTGTTATGGACCCCTATCGCCATATCCACACTTAGAAGCAAGTATCGTATCGCTATGTGTGTGGTCAGGAATAATAAGGTTTGTTCAAATATTTTAGTTTTCGCATGTGGTGAAACTTGGTAATATGATTAAGCGTTACCACTGTTTTTTTTTTTTGTTATTTAATTATAAGTTAAATTGCCAGTTATTGACACTATAACTTGTACCAGGTAGAGTACCAGTAGAGAAAGAAAAGGTGTCAACTACAGAATATACTTTACTGATGCACACTTGTTTTTAGTTAAGTTCCCCCACTCCATCCTGTTGAATGGGGGTTGTCAGCCGTTTAAAAAAATCTTTTACTCGTTCAATACTTTTATACTTATAAATATCGATATCTTTAACATAATATTGAACAGTATCGATGCCTGTACCACAAAGTATCTCACATGATACCAGTATCGATACCTTTGACTGATACTCTTAGCCCTACTCCTATACTACTATAAAAATACAAAAACAAAGAAGTCATATACTGCCATCCTAGGCAGAGAGGTCCTATCTGAAAATTTGTTGTTTTGAAATAATCGAGTTTTTAACTATTTTTAGCAAATATATTTATTATCTTTTAAACCTTTTTCGTGTAACTTTTTAACATTTTAGTACCTTTGATGCAAATAATACATTCCATTTCAGTATTAAGAAAGATAAAATGTAGACAAATGCACATAAATAAAAGAAACTGATAATTTTGCAGATAAAACCTTTCTTGCTAGGACGGCAGTTAGAAGTGCTCATGTAGTTCACTAAAGATAAATAATATTTAAATTTGTTACATTTCAGTAAATTAAGTATTACCATTGCTGGACAGTAGTGACGTTTTGGTGGATAAATACAGCATTTCACTGGACATATACCTATGCCATTTTGCTGTACGTTTGCTGCACAATACCAATTGCTGGACAAACTTTAAAAATGCTTTACAATATAGCAAAATTGCTGTAAGTATGATCGCCCTAGTGTAATAATATTTTAATCACTAAAAATAAATTTTAAAAGAATTGTGTTGTAGGTTTTCTTTGTGGTGGATTATAATTCTAGTAAAAATGTCAGGAATTTTAGAAGCTAAAGTTAATAATACAGAATTGGTTGAAGAATAATATATAACATCTGAAATTATTTCTTTTTCTTTCATAGCAAAATATCATGCTAAAAACACTGCTCTGTATAAGTTGAACATCCATTATTAAGTATCAAATTTGTAAAAATCAAAATAAAGGTTATTATTTATTTAGGAAAACAAAGTAAGTAAAAATCAACTAAAAATAGGTGCAACGATTTAAACGAGCATATTTTTCATTTTCTTTATACATATTATTTTCTTTAATAATAAACAAGTAAATTTATTATCTACAAGGTTATTTTTACGGAAGAAACTATATAATTAAGTTCACATATTTATTTATTTATCTATCTATTTGTTTACAGTACGCTACAGATACATAAAATTCTAAATGGTACATTTAAAATATCAATTAAAATAAAATAAAAAAGAAATTAATAAAATTGTCATAGTATAAAATTGAAGTCAATATAGTATAATGAAAGTGACGCTTAAAAAAAACCTACTAAAATGTCATAATTTGAAAAATACTTATTGTAATTGGACATCAGTCGGTCTACAAATAAATTCTGTCAACAGTTAGTTCTATGAGTATTTACATAAAATAGTTTAATCTGCCTAGTAAGTCTGGCAGGAACAAGGAATCTAATAAAATGAGGAATAAACGATAGGCCCCTGTCAAAAATATCACCAAGATCATTTATAGTTCAGAACCTGCAGTGACATAATCATGCATAATGATATTAGCTGTTTTATTAAACCTTATAACTTTACATTTATCAATATTCAGTTTAATGAAGTTATATCGTATTAAAACTATGATTAGTACCAGTTGTAGGCAAATATATTTTTTTAGCATCGTACAACTGCCATCTTAATAAAAATCTAGTGACCTTTATAAATTTAAATATACCTCATATAAATACACTTTTTTTATTACTTTTGTACAATCGTTCACCATTTTAGCTACTAGTGAACCTTTGCAATATAGGTACCTTATTATACTCTTTCGTGCAAGCGTTCAATGTTTTTGATTCTAGTGAACTTTTGAGATATTTCTTATATACCCTTTATACTTACTTTTGTCCAATTTGTCAGTGTTTTATAGCTACCTTATGGTATCACACATGTGTAATTGCATTACCTGTATTATTACCTACCTCTACTTGTATGATATTGGTACTTGATTTCAATAGCTTTTTAATAATAAATTTATACAATTTTTTTATTTTGTTTTCTTCAGATTTTACTAAGTATATCCTTAATATACTATTTTGAATATAGTGTATCCAAGAATAGACATAACTATGCTTGTAAAGATATTTATTTTAAATTTTTCAAAAGAGGTATTTTTCATAATTTCTCAACGTTAATCGTATTTATTTAACAAGCAAAAGAAATTATGAAGAAGTACTTTAAAATTTAAAATAAATATTTTTACAAGTATTGTTAAGTCCATCCGTGGACACACTGTATAATGCTGTAGAAGGAATTCACATTATAACATCTATAGAAAGTTTCAGAGCAACTTTCGGGGTAAGTACCGTAAAAGTGCTAGTGTGATGTTTTCCGAACTTCACTTTATAACTTCTACGAGATGTGCTATAAAAGTCTTGCCGTTGCGGACATTCGGTAGTTGCAGGGATAATAGGGTTACATTTACAGTACATTGCATGTGAGCTTAAACAGCCTAAAATTGCAGCTTATTAACGTAGATGGGATATTTTTGTGCTAGCTGGGAAGCCATGTATTTTGAACTACGTAAACCGTACCAGCGCCCATGTGGTGAATTATAAAAGCTCAATTGACGTGTGATTTTTGGGACCGTATTTTGAGCATGCCGATTCGCCTCCTTACCTCTAGTCTTCATAATTACAACATCCGTCAACTTTGAAGAAATAAATATGTCAACGCTATTGAAAGATGAAAAAAAAAACAGTGTTATATAAACTAAAATTTTAATAATACAATAAAATCTTGCAAAGATAAAAATAAAAGTTTTTAAAAAATAACGTTAATCGAACATTTGAGTCACTCTATCATCTTTCACGTACCAGATTCTTAAAAGAGTCAGCTAAGTAACATGTCGTAATAATTAAACCTATTTACAAAGTATGGTAGTAGTCATTTATATTGGGCATTTCAACGACCTGTCAAAATGCTGCTAGTGGGATTGACAGTTTAGACATGGCAACCTTGTGGGTCTCTTGTCATTGACAGGGTCAATTATACATGGATAATTAGTTTATATTAACTATCTATATCATTGACTTTGTCAAATCACCAGGCCTACAGTGTTGTCATCATAACCTAGCATGTTCCTGTCATTACCTATGGACTACCATTTTGTTTGGACCAGACCTACAACCATTTTGTTTGGAATGCCTACTTAAGATTTCCATGGGAAAAGTCATACATCAACGTGAAAACTCATTGACTGTTTCTCTCAGACTTATTTCGAGGATAATTTTAATAATCACTAGCTTTAAAAATACTGTGTTGACAGTGACGTTTGACATTTCTCATGAAACTGTTAAGAAAAATTAATACTTTCACACTTTCCTGTACATAAATTGACAAATAAATTAATGTCATTTGTCTGCTAGCTGAACTTATTTAATATTATTAATAACAATTTTTTGTTTCAAAGAAACTACTTCATATTATATTTTTATATGATTTCTCAACACTGATGTTAAGACTTTGTTAATATTTAAAATAAATTATATTTAATTTGTAAAAAGCTTTTAAGCCGCTTTAGGCGAAATTATAAACGGTGTCCTACAAATATATTTGGTACAGTCTCGAAGTTTTACGGCATTCATCACGTCCTGGAGGTGATGAGAAGCTTGTGATGCAATGTCAGGATGTACCCTAGAAAAAAATAGTTCAGTTTTAAATTCAAATTAAAATTCTTTATTGACTAATAAATACAAATTTAGAGCCAGATGGCTACTGGACAGAGTTAAAAAATAACAAAGTAGAAATATTTTGTAGGACAGATATAAAATTAAATAAAGTAACCAAACACAAAACCAGAAGCGGCATAGGCTACGAGGAGACTACGGAGGCTACTTTTGAAAGGCACACCCTATATATACACAAATATATATTAAAGGGAAGTAAAAAGCTCAAAGTCTGTCGACCACATAAATTTATTAGGTTGCAAGCGCTTTCGACCTAAAAGGTCATCATCAGGCAAAAAATTTTGTAAGTGAGTAGGTACAATTTGCAATAATAATTTAAGGTATAACAAAACGTTTTTTGTAAGCTTTGTTTTGGTTCACTTTCGTAACTGTTCTAGAACTCTTCCAGAACCTTTGGAGCATGTGCAGTAGATATTTGCTGTTTTGGTTTCACTAGAACTGTTCCGAACCTGTAAGTTCTGTGTTTTGGTTTTTCTTGAGAATGGTTCCATAACCATTCTCGAACAGTAACGTCGGTTCTGGCCTAAAGCGAGAACTGTTTCAGAATCGATATGTTTGCGCATGCGCTTTTTTGCAAATAGATTTGTTTTTGAGATTCTGGCCATGTTTTGTGTTGGAATTTTTACAAGGAATTTTAAAATGTACTAATGAGAATGGAGTAGTTGATGTTGGGTCATAAGATTGTTACGAATAAATTATTTAATTTATCTACGTTTTATAATATTATGTGGCCTCTTTCTTGCATATACACTGACCCTGTGTAATTTCTTCTTTCTTATTTATAATTTACTTTTTGACATTTAACTGTTCTGGCAGTGTTTTGGTTTCGAATGCAATGGAATGGTTACAGAACTGTTCAGAATTAAGGACCATTGCGCAATAGTTCTGCGCATGGTTCTGGAACAATTCTAGAATGTGAACCAAAACAAACCTATAGAAATGCTAGGTGTCTTACTTAGATAAAAGAGACCAGAGATATAACATACACCGGTTTTAAACCTGCGCAAATGTTGCCAATTTCTAAAGAAGGGTTAACGGAGTGGGGGAACTGGGCGGCGACACGCGGCGACCCGAACTCTGTGACAGGGACCGGACTTTGTTTATTGGCATTTTAATGAAATATTAGGTTTATTTAAAAGGTGTTTAATCGAATTTTGTATTATGAAATAAAATTAACGTGATTTTTTAATATCAAACAGATGCCACGACATTTTATGTAAAGAGAAGACCTTTTATAGAATATTTAGTTAGCGTTTATTTACTACGGACTTTTCTGCAAGAGATTACAGTAAAATGTTGAAATAGAATATATTGTTAATAGAGCAAAAAATGTTACTCATTGTCTACGAGTATTATAAAAATAGCATGTGCGCAGGCTAATACTGCAAATCTACCCTTATGAGTTGAACATTATATTTTTTCTACGGCTATTACATAATAATAAAAATTAGTCAAAATGAGAAAATGCTGTTTTGTATTATAACCTCAGAAAAAGGTATGTTAAGGCTTCTTTATTTAGGAATATTAATTATTATAAAGGATGAGTCACATAAAACTCTAGAAATGCATATGTCTGAAACCAGATAACATTTTAAAATTTAAATCTATTAAAAGTCATTTGGTCGCTAGGGATGAGTGATTATCGAAATAAATTATCGATCATTGAAAATAATCGATTATTTTCGATCAATCGATTATTTTCAAACAATATATTTTTTGTAATTTCCTTTAAAATCGACTACTTGATTATCTTTGAAAAATCAAAAATAATCGATTAATTAAAAAGCCAATTAACCGATAAATCAGTGTTTACAAAATATAATATAAATAGAATTATCGTATTTTAAATAATCGATTATTTTCAAATAAACCATTTTTTTTCGTCCATGGAAACAGATTATTCGATAATCTTTGAAAAATCGAAAATAATCGATTAATCAAAAATAATCGATTAATCAAAAATAATCGATTAATTAAAAAGTCGATTAACTGATAAATTGATTTAAAAAAAAAAACAGAATGATCGATTATGTAAAATAACCGATTATATTCAATCGATTATTTTCATATAATATCTTCGAAAAATCAAAAATAATCAAATAATTAAAAAACCGATTAAACGATAAATCGATTATTTTGAATAAATCTACTTTTTTTGTATTTCCTTTAAAATCGATTAATACATTATCTTAAAAAAAAACCGAAAATAATTTATTAAAAACAGCGGATAAATCGATTTTCATTAAAAAATATCAGAATTATCGATAAATCGATTATTTTTGTAACCCCTATCGGTCGCTTGCTTTTATCTGAGCATTTCTCTCCAAAATTTAGAGATTCGGATTTTTTGATCCAGTTATCTTTAAAATCGCATTCGATTGTATAATAAATAAATATTGCTAAATTTTGGATTTTTTTTAGTAAACGAAAATTATGTTCGAGTTGTTTAGGGGTTTGTAATGTAACATTTTATTAACGTGACACACAACGGTGGAATCGGACCTAACTCCTGTAACTTTAGTATTTTTTTTGGGCTTATACTAGATTACTTTGTTTTAAGACTGAAAATTCAATGTCACTTTCGATTTGACCGCAAATAAGATGAACCTTGAAATTTTAAGTAGGTCATCCTGTATTTCATCTAATATTCTTATAAAAATACCTTATAAAAATACCTTATAAAAATACCTTATAAAAATACCTTATAAAAATACCTTATAAAAATACCTTATAAAAATAAAATTTAGCTAGCAACTATGATTCTTTACCTCTTATTTATTTACCAAAAAGGGCTAAAAACTAACTTTAGAAAACCTTATAAAACTACTTTTTAAATACAAAATTTCGTTAGCAATAATGCCTATTTACTATGTATTTAAATTAAATGTTCAAAATTTTACCCTTTTGTAAATTTATGTAATATGAAATCTGATTTCTGATGCTTAATATTTATTGAAACCCCTTAATGCGGATCTGAAGTATTCAGCCCAGAGAATCATGGCGCTTTATGTCAAAACGTTAATAAATATTTACCGCTGAAAACGAATAAACAGTAGTACTTGTATTATAAGTACATACAATTTTTCAAGATACATCGTGACATTTTGAACTTGAAATTGAATAACTAGAACACTTTAAATTGCTAAAATACCAACAAATAAATCAAAAAACAGCTGTCAATGGTGATTAAACTCAGGTGGAAGTGATCGCTGAATGGAAATCGGAGCAATTCGGGTGGCGTCGTGCCACAATGATTTTCAATTGGTGGGTTACTTTGGCTTAAAATAGACAACATGCGCAGTGTGCAATGTTACATCTTCGGTCTCTTTAATCTAAGGTGTCTTACCACTATGTGTCCACAGAAAAATAAGTATGTTGAATTAAAATGTAAAATTTAAGTAAATTGTAAAATGTAAAAATTGTAAAAATTGTAAAAAATGGCCTCCCTCATTCGAGTTTGGATCCAGTTCTAGTTTTGAATTTCGCCTGCCTCCATCTGATGGTAGACATTTGGGTGGGAGTGTTGAAGAGCATTTATTAGTGGGTGATTTCCAAGGCACTTTAAGACAGATTTGTGTATTTTTACAATTCTCTGTTGCATGGGTATATTCTTGGCATTTGCTACATGGTTGTAGTACTGGCTCTGGAGCTTTACTAGGGTAGACTGGATAGTGTTGATAATGATAATGTAGGCCATGAGGTAGAAGAGTTTTTATGTTCCTTATCATTGTTGTGAGTTTTGCATTGCTTCTGGTTATTATTTATTTGCAATATCTATGTTCTAAATTAAAATTTGTGAAGTGTCTGCTAATTGACTTTACCCTGGCGATTATAACAGAGTAAGAAGGAAGTGGTGAAGAAGTAGGAGGTTTCGTATTAGTGTTGCTTTGTTTATAGCTTAAAATCTTGCCATTTTCAGAATGTCTGTTAAGGACTCCCATTATTTCATCATCTGTATCTATAACGTGTGGAGGGTGCGTTACCCCCACATCACTTAGGCCTCACTAGGCCCATTGTGCAACCTCCTAAGATGAGCTTTGTTGGTGTTCGCTTTTAAAACCAATCCTTTTTTAGTTTTTGTTATAATATCATTAGCATTAGGAAAAATTTGGTTCCACCCTTTTATATTTAAACGACTTTTATATTATTACTTTCTTCATTTTACGGATTAACATGGATTCTTTTTAACATACATCATACAACCTTTTATCAACATCAACCTTTTGGAAAAGATACCTTTTGTCTACTACTTGACATGTGTCATTCTTAGAACATTAGTTTTATGACAACTGACATGATGGTCTCTTTCCAATTAGGCAACAAACTAATCTTAACATAAATATATATAAAAGGTATTTAGCGTTTGATGAGCAAATCTAACACACTCTGTAGTAATATTTATTCTAGTGTATGAACTTTCTGCTTCTAAATAAAAAATATTATCATACTCTTTGTTGACTATTTAATGGTTAGTAGTTGAAATTGTTTTTGTTGTTATAACTGTTTTTGTGTAGTTGAGGATCTAAGTTTTTGTAGATGGGATTTTTTGTATTTGTAGTCTGGCAGCTTGTGCCAATAACATCATTAATCTATTCCTATGTCGTCTTTTTGAAATATTGTGTAATTTGTGTTGTTTTCCTTTTGAATCTAACTTTGTTCCACATTCCATCTTTCTCAACTTCTATCTTAGTATAGTCTTCATTTTGATATTTTACTTAAAGAACCGTACCAAAGATCACTGCTTTGGAAATAGGTGTTCACTCTAGCAAGTTTAATTTAATACTGGATTTTATAATTTATTGATATTTCAAAATAATATTTAAAACAAAAATAAAATACTTGTACATAATTACGATGTTTCTAAATCATTCTTGAGAAATCATTTTAGAAACATCGTAGGAATGTACCATTTCTATCAGAAATACAGGGTGTCCCGAAATTAGACGG